CCTCGAGCGAAATCCCCACAAATTAAAAGAGGGAGAGCCGAGGACCGCGCACTCGCCGGCCTCGAGCGAAATCCCCACAAATCAAAAGAGGGAAGCCAAGGACCGAGCACTCGCCGGCCTCGAGCAATAAAAATGAAATCCCCACAAATCAAGCCACATATTTGGCTAAGTACATATCAGGCAAATACTATGCATTATGGACGAAGCAAGACCATATATGCGGATCAGACGAGCGTTCAACGTCGTCCTTCATTATAGGTACGGCTTCGCCGTCCTCTTTATCTTCCAACGACTGGCTTCATCAACGCCATCATCCTCAGATCACGGCAGACCCCCCTGATCTCAACGTGATCCTTCATCTCAAGACCGGCCTCCTCAGCGCCGAGCGCCTTGAGCCAGCGAGCGGGCTCGCCGTTCCCTTCCTGGACGGCGACCCTCGCCTCCATACGAGGAGCGGCTTCATCAGCGCCGTCGTCTTCTGATCACGGCCGACCCCTCGGTCTCAACGTGATCCTTCATCTCAAGACCGGCCTCCTCAACACCGAACGTCTTGGGCCAGCGAGCGGGCTCGCCATTCCCTTCCTGGATGGCGACCCTCGTCCTCAAAATGAACGGTCCCTTGGCCTCAACGTGATTATCTATCTCAAGGCCGGTATCCTCAGCACCGAGAGCCTTGAGTTTACATGACGAACGGCTTCATCAAATGCCTTCGTCATCATTTATTTGGACCGGCTTCATCAGCACCGTCGTCCTCAAATCATGCCCGACCCCTCGGCCAAGGCGTGATCATCTATCTCAAGACCGGCTTCCTCAGCACCGAGAGTCTTGAGCCAGCGATCGGGCTCACCATCCCTTCCTGGATGGTGACCATCGCCACTACATGACGCACAGCTTCACCAATGCCTCATCATCATTTACTTGGATCGGCTTCATCATAGCCGTCATCCTCAAGTCACGCCTGGTCTCTCGGCCTTGGCGTGATCATCTATGTCAAGACCGGTCTTAGCCATTCCTTTATCGGATGGCGACCGTTGCATGGATTGAAGGAACGGCTCCTCATCGCCGTCGTCTTCACATCACGACCAGCCCCTCGGCCATGGTCTGATGCTCTATCTTAAGACCGGTCTTAGCCATTCCTTTACCGGATGGCGACCGTTGCATGGATTTAGGACCGGCCCCCACTGCCGTCGTCCTCATATCTTGAGACCGGCTCCCAACGCCGAGGTACTGTTATAGCGACCGGGCTCGCAATTCCCTTCCTGGACAGCGACCGTCGCCTTCATATGACGCATGGATCAATTCCATTGTCATCCTCACATTCAGACAGGCATCCATCGCCTCGTCCTCATATTCGGACCGACTCATCAGCGCCGTCGTCCTCACCTCCAGGCGGGCGTCCCCTCATCAGACGGACATTGTTTCAGCTCCACACCTAGGCCGAAGGGTTCACCCCTTGGAGTTCATTTTGGGGGATCCGGTGTGCTCTTTTTCCCTCATTAGGATTTTTTCCCACAGGGTTTTTCCTAATGAGGTTTTTAACGAGGCATCGCCCCATTGTGGATAAAAAGGTGTCGACCCTCGGCCCCCCTATTGAAGACGTGTATTGCTCTACTCCTCTTCACCTCACTACATGAGCCTCAAGGAGTGGGGGACTGGGGGACTACATCGACCTCCACATACATGAAATCATCCAGAAAGCAACAAAAAGCAAGGACTACCAAGTGGTACCTCCGTCGGCCATGTCTTCATCGGCCAGAAGAAGGTCTGGGGGACTACATCGGCCTCCAGCGTAAAGAAACAAATTCAAAATCAACCGAACACAAGCCCATGACAATGGCACCTCAACGTCCAACAACCATGTGTTCACCCTTCGGCCAGGCCGAAGCGCAAAGCAGGACACACATCGTCCTCAGGATTAAGGGCACATCATCCTTGGAGCCAAGGACACTCCTCAAGGCCAATGGCACACATCGTCTTCAAGACAATGACAAGAACACCACAAACGTCCACCTTCGGCCAGAGCGCAAGGCAGGACGCTCATCGTCCTCAAGGCGAAGGACACCCATCGTCCTCAAGATGAAGGACATCTGTCATCCTCGAAACGAAGGGCGCTCATCGTCCTCAAGGTGAAGGACACTCATCGTCCTCGAAACAAAGGACACCCATCGTCCTCAAACAAGAGATAACTACAATGGCCTCATCAGCCCGAAAGGGAAGTTCAAACCATCAACGACCAAGGATAGACACTACCTTCGTCGGCCACTCATGCTGGAACACTCATCGTCCGCAAACAAGCGCATCAGAGGAGTAACAGCCTTCCTCGTCCACATCAAGGAACGGGTAACGGCCAAACTCAGAACAGGGCCACCAAACGCCACGACAGGGAACGGCCAACGTGGTCCCGCATCGGCCAAGAGCATCAAGCACAGAAATCTACTCTCCTTCACTTCGTCTACATCTCAGCTTAGAGAGTGGGGGACTCCTGATGGAGTATATGGGTCTAGGCCCTAGGACCCACATACTCAGAAGAACAGAAGGTACCATGATCGCTGGGTGACCTCGTCGGCCGTGCCCTCATCGGCCATGCCCTCATCGGCCAGGAAAAGGTCTACTCAGAATATGATCCAGAAGCCCGGAGAACCGGGTGCCCTCATCGGCCATGCTCTCATCGTCCATGCCCTCATCGGCCAGGAAAAGATCTATCCAGAATATGATCCAGAAGCCCGGAGAACCGGGTGCCCTCATCGGCCATGCTCTCATCGGCCATGCCCTCATCGGCCAGGAAAAGATCTACCCAGAATATGATCCAGAAGCCCGGAGAACCGGGTGCCCTCATCGGCCATGCTCTCATCGGCCAGGAAAAGAAGGCCGTCCAGAATATGATCCAGAAGTCAGGAGAACCGGGTGACCTCATCGGCCATGCCCTCATCGGCCATGCCCTCATCGGCCATGCCCTCGTCATCCATAGGTAGCCTCTAGAACAGGATTTTATACTTATCATTTCTATACACTTTGTATCCGGTCCATTAGTGGCCCTGTTGTAAATGGGCCTCCCAAGCCCAAGACTTGGGAGCCCAGCCCTAATTTTCTCTATAAATACTCCCCTTGGGAGTAGTTGTAGGGGTTCAGAATTCATTAATACAAAGCAAATATACTACTTCTCTCTCTAGCTCTCACTTCTCTCTAGATATACTCTATCACCATGTGTGGGATCAAAGTTGTCCTTAACAATGAATTCCATGATTTATTGCTGTCTGCCAAAGTTATGGCTTTGTCACTTGTTTGGTCAGCACCAGTTTCCACAGCTTTAGCAGACTCCCCAGAAAGCTGGCCAGGGAGCTCAATGGGTGATTGGGTGTGACCGCCCCTATCTCAGAATCAGCAGTATCCATTCCTTTAGGCGCAGCAGGTAGCTTCTGCAGCTTGTTTCCAGATTTCAGAGCTGGGAACTCCTCATCTATATCTTCTAGGACAACATACTTTGACCTGGTGATTCTGTCCGTGGACTTCCCAGACCCGTGCTTCCTGTTTCCCATAACAAAATCCTGCAGAAAAGCACCAATTACAGTTACGCACAAATTGCAGAGAATGGCAACAGGCAGGATCTGCAGCTCCCGTCTAAGCAATCTCAGCAGTCCCAGGTGAGCGAAACGAAGTCTCTGCAGCACACGCTCAAAAACGAAGTCCCTACCTGCAGTGGCGGACCCAGAAAGTCGGAGCCAAGGGGTCCCTATCCTTATATATCTCTCTGATCTCTAATTAATATAAAACTAATAAAAATATATTAAAGAAGCATAACACTACAAAGTTAACGTACACTATTGTAAACAATCATAGTTGTATGATGCATCTTTGGCAATACTGTATTCCAACCATTTATGCTCATCAAACCAACTTGAAACAAATCTACGTTTTTTGCCTCCAATTAACTTAAAAGGGAAATCATGGTCCCGAGGTTGAAACGGTCCTTTTTGAATGTAACTACGATGTACCTCGTCTTGAACATTAGGGTGAAAATCAGCAATTCTTTTTCTCAATCCATGATCAGCTTCCAAAGATTCAAAATACTCATGTTGTTCAGGTAGATTATAAGCCAAATTAGCTTCACTTTCAGCAATTACTTGATCCAATTCTTCATTTACTAATGGCGGATCAGTTGAATTAACACCCGAACTACTCCCGTACTTTGAGTTTCTTTAAATTTAGGTACAATATCAAAATATCTTTTCATCCTAAATCATATAAAATTGAAAATAACATTTATAAATACATACATTTATTAATTTAATCTAACATTAAAAAAAGATATGCAAAAAAAGCAATTAAAAGAACGACGTAGTCACGTAGTTTTGGTATATTTAATTTAAACATAGAAATTGAAAACCCTAAATTAAAAATCGCACAAAAAGCTTGAGAAAAGTCATTAATGGAGAAAAGAAGAGAAGAGTACCTTGGTGGCTCACTGGCTTGGCCGGTGGTCGTCGCCCGTCGGCTCGTCGCCTCGTCAGCACTGCGGCGGTCAGCTGGTGGTCGTCAGGTCTTCGTGCAGTCTGCTGTCCACAGTCGTGCTCGTGCTTCGCGCCTTAGCAGTTGGGGGAATCGCACAGTCGCACTCCAACGTGAAAGGAAAAGAGGGTTGGGTGTTTTGTTTTGTTTTGGGCCTAAGTTTCATAAAGTTGGACACTTGGATCTGCTTTCTTTTACACGCACGACCAAAAAAATATGGGTTGGGGCCGCTGGGCTGTACCTTCCGTTAAAGACAAAAAAACGCCGAAAAACAAAAAAACTAATGGGATTCGAACACAGAACCTCCAACAACCACAGATACTTTACATCCGAGCCTGCTCCCGTTCTGCTACTCCATTCTTGTTGTTTTAGTATCTCTTTGTGTGTAAATATACATTGAATAATTAATTTTAAATAATATATATATATAGAATATTTATAGATTTTTTTTTCGAGGTGCACGGGGTCCCGGGACCCCTTGGGACCCTTAGTGGGTCCGCCACTGCCTACCTGCTATTAAAAAGAAACCAACCCAACAGCAGTTTCCTAACTCAATCTACCAGGCACCAGACGATGTGAATAGTATCCGTACAAGCTCCATCTCGTTTGTGTTGATCAGTGGCCAAAATCGAACCTGAAGTACAAATCGATGGTCGAGTGTCGCTAAAGGATGGATTATCAGCCAAGAATCACAGCAAAAACAAGAATCACAGCTTAAAACAAGAACCACGATTTTGAACAGAACCTCGCGATTTACAGCCGTCCGTCACTGAGTTCTTGCTCAAAAACCACCATTCAAAGCATAAAAAGCACACGCTGAATCGAAATCCTAGTTAAAGCCGACCAAGAATAACAATAACAACACAGATCAGAACTCAAAAATCCATCTTGATCGGTAGGCTTTGTGGTGTGCTCTCCCTCGGAATACGACCGTTAGAGGTGGAGTCCACGTGGCGTACCCTGGTTGGTTGGCTTTGTGCGGGGGTCATCGGTTGGTTGAGGCGGCGGTTTGTAATGATGGCTTTCTCAATGGGAGGCCCAGTTCTCAGCCCAAGCCTGAAATGGGGAGGCTATAAATACTCCATGGCCGAATTCATTTTTCCTTGCGCGTTTTGAAGTTGTAGCGAAGCTCTGTTGATTTTCCTAGAGAGATAAAGTATTTCCTTTGATCAAACCAAGTTTTTCAAGGTCAGTTCTTCACTTCTTCTTAAGTCTCCTCGCATACTTTGCTTCTCCGTCTTTGATTCAGTGTTTAGAGCCTTGGAGCTTTAGGAATTTTCTCCTTATCCCCAAACCCTTCGACTTTCGTCTTCGGAGATGTCTTCTGGAAGCGATTCTCAAAACATCTCGAAGGAGGCTCTGGTAGAAACAAAGAGCATCTCGGGTGTAGAGTCTTCAAGTGAACAACTTTCAGTCAACAATGATTCAGCGGTGGCAATGGAAGTTTAAAGCAACCTCATAATGGAGGCCGAAGCCGAAGACTTCGAACATGTGGCTGAGGATGAGGAACTAGCCCTCGCCGTTCATGTAGCTGAGGAGGAAGAAGAGAAGGAGAGGCAGAAGGTTACTGTCGCTGTCCTTCCCTCGCGCCATGCCGGTGAGGCAAACAGCTCCCGGCCTCTCAATCTGGAGCCTCTTAGGGTGGCCCTAGCTAAGAAAAAGAAGGTGAAGGATGCACCGAAGAAGAAACAGGCTGCCGTCGATGCTGGGCAGCCGGTGGGCATTCCCGAGGGCTACTCATACCTGAACACCGCCGCCCTTGATGTGAAGACAAAGGCCACGGCTGCTGAATATCAAGCCACACAATTCTTTGCAGGCCCCTCGGCGCGCGTGGTGGAACCGGGGCCAGATGACGTGCAGTTACACGCGCCCGGGGGCTGCTTTGCCGCTCACATCCTGTCGGTGGAATTGGGCATTCGGTTTCCCCTCCACCCCTTCGTCCTGGAGTACCTGCGGTTCTTGAAACTGGCACCCTGTCAGCTAACGCCCAACAGCCACACGTACCTGCCTGGCTTCCTTTCCCTCTATCGGAGCCGGGGGGTCGAACCATCCTTGGATCAGTTCTTCTTGTCTTTCAGTCTCTGCGGGGGGGGGGGGGGGGGGGGGGGGCATTCAAATGCCGGAGGCGTCGCCAACTTGCAGCAGGTCCCAGAGTTTAGGCTTTTTGACGACGTTCCTTCGTCCCACAAAGGATGGAAGGATAAGTTTTGCTATATCCGCATGGCGGAGAACCCCTTCCCCGCCCCTCTTTGTGATCATTTCCGGAGGTACCCGAAGGTGGGGAATGCTGCCCTCGAGAAGAATGGCAAGAAACTTGCCAAGAAGCCGGAGGGGTCTGACAAGCACGTAACAATCAAGGAGGCCACTCTCCCGGATGATCTGTTCGATTTGAGCTTCCGCCGATATAGGCTTGTGGGGGAGGTAGATGAGAAATACCCCCTCATAGATTGTGTCTTTGAGAGCACCAGAGGTTGTTCCCCCAAAGGCTCCATGTTCTACACTTAGAAAAAAAATTGCATTTAATTCTTGATGTTGTCTTGATCCTTCGTCCTTATTGATTTGTGTTATCTTGCAGGTGCTAGTATGGACGTGAGGAACTTCGTTGGCCTTAAGAAGAAGTTGGCCAAGGAGCTAAAGAAGAAGGAGACGGGAACACAAAACCCCGTCGATGAATTCTTCCAGAGGGACGAGGGGCCCTCCTCGGCTGTCGCTGCTGCTATTGGTGGAGCCGAGGCCGGAGGCGATCAAGTCGCGGCTGCCAAGAGGAAGGCGGCGGGAAAAGCCGTCGTGCCCAGAGGCAAGAAATTGAAGAAGGGGGGTGCCGAGAAGAAGGCTACCCCCGTCGTGGCTGTGGATGAGCACTCCTCCTCCGAGCCCCGGTTGCGGCGGCGACGACCCCCTCCAAGCCCCCTTCGGCTGAGGTGGGCTTCCCTCGGGAGAATGTGCAATTCTCCCTCGTAAAGGGAACCACCATCATGCATGGCACGGTGGACCCCAGGGAGTTCATGAAGGGTGCCACCCCCGAGCTGGATAGGGCATTCCTGAGCCGGCTAGACGATGAAGCCCTCGACTCCAAGATTCTCCGGTCATCTCTTACGGTAAGACACTCTGTCTATTTTTCATTTCCTTAATCGTTTTTGCCTTAACTTGTTTTTCACAGTGGTCTAACCCTTTTGCCTGTTGCTTACAGGCTTGCATTGCCCTCGGCGAGCAGGCCCGGAGGGTGGAAACCTTGCGCCTTCAGAAGGCGCAACAGGACGAGACTTTGAAGAAGCTCGTCCATGACAATGCTGCCGCCGTTCGGGACATGTCGAGGCTGGAGGAGACCCTTTGGCAAGAAAGGGCTGAAGCGGAGAAGGCCCAGACAGAGGCCAGAGCCAAGGGCATGGCCGAGGATGAGAAGACTGCTGCTGAGGCTGCCAAAAAGGCTGCCGAGGATGCCGAGGATGCCGCGGCCGCCAAGGAAGGGGCTGTCGCCAAGGCCCAGGAAGACGCTGTTGTTGCCTTCACTGCTGAAGGGTGGAAGGCCGAGGACCAGAAGCAGTGGCTGGCCTCGGTAGTTGAAGCTACCGTTGATTACTGGGTTGGCAGCCCCAGTGCAGAATGGTTGGCCCGGAAGGGCAAGGAATATTATGACAGGGGCGAGTTCTTTACTCAAGCCCTCGTCTACCGGAGGCTGGCCCGGCATTATGGGGCGGACTCGAAGGAGTTTGCCCTAGCAACCTACGGCCTTCCCCCCTTCAGCCTGACTTTAGAATCCCCCTCCCTGCGGATGTTGAAAGGCCAGATCTTGAGGATTCTGTGCTGATGCAGGATGCACAAGACGAAGATTAAGAGGCCGGAGGGAATGCTACTTCGAAGCCTGCCGAAGGGGGTGCTGCTGAAGTTGATAATCCTTGATGTACTTGTAATTTCTTTTTTGAACAATGTTTTGTAATTACTTTTCAGCTTCCGGCTTCGGTCTTTGATGTATAACAATTTATATTCTTGTGAATGAATGCATGGATGCCTTCGGGATTTTGATGTTTGAATTTATCCTCGATGTTTTCTAAATGAATGCCTTCGCTTCCTTTATGTTTCCTTCACGACTCTATGAATGTATGTCTGTACCACGAGTTCACCGAGGGCAAACCATTTAGGACTTAGAAATTTTTTCTAAATGATGTTTACCACTAGGCCTTCGGTTGATATATTCTTTTAGCTTTATGAAATAGCTAACCTTCGTCGTCTACCCTCGGGGGATTAGTGTTCTGGACTTAGCCATTTTTTGGGTAATGTCATGAACTTGCTCTCGGCTCATAGTAGTCTTAGGCAAAGTCTCCCTTTGCATAGTATGGTGGTGCCAGGGGCCCTTAACTCATGGACTTAGAAAAATTTCCATTGATTTTGCAACTAGTAGCCTTTTGTAGGAATGAGGAGTTAGTAGATCTCTGACCCACCTGTAGAATAGGAGCCTCCGGTGTTGATTGTAGTTCCGGAGGCCATTGGGGTGTGGACTTAGGAAATTTGAGCTTACGTTAGTGAAGAGCCGCCGGCTAGGGGCCTTTGGCTTTGTTGGCTTCCAAAGTGTGGCTTTAGGAATTTTCTAGCCCAACATGTTATAGTAGGAGCCCTTGGTCCCTACTGAGGCGCCGATGAGTGTAGAGTATGTAAGCCCTATATACGGTAATAGATGCTTCCGGCCTTTGTTGACTTCTCGAAAGCTATACAACAGGAGCCTTCAGTTTTTGCCTTCCCATTTGCAGACTTTGAAATATTTAGCCCCACACATGAGGGTAGGTGCCCTCCGAATTTCCTGAGATGCCGAAGGTCATCAACAAGAGTCTTCTGTGTTGCCTCAAGAATGTGGGCTTAGAATATTTAAGCCCCATAATACTGTGAATAGATGCCTTGGATAGTTTCTGAGAAGTTGGAGGCTTTACAACAGGGAACCTTCGACGTTGATTGAAATGGCATTGGTTGAAGTGCCGGAGGCTTCCAAAATGTGGACTTAGCAAAATTTTGCCTAATTGTTAGGACAGGAGCCTTCGGAATAAGGATAGAAACCGGATTGCCTTAAAAGAAGCCTTCTAGTTTGTTGACTGGAATTTGTACTCATTGATTGCTCGTTGAGTCTACTCCCCTTAACCCCCCCCCCCCCCCCGTTGTAAGGCTTGGCCTATGCGGGAGGCAACAGTATAAGTTGTTGTCTCCCTCCTCAGGATTAACCTTCCGGGTTCCGAGGGGTTCGAGGGTCGTTTCCTCGGCCCGAGACATAATCTCTTGCCTGCCTCCCCTTGGGGGATGGCACGGAAAGCGGCTTAGTTTTGAAAGTCGTTCCCTCAGCCCGAGATATAGTCTGTTGCCTGCCGTTCCCTTGGGGTAATGGCGCGGGAAGCGTTTCATTTTGAAAGTCGAATCGTGGGCCCGGGACATAGTCCGTTGTCTGCCATTCCCTTGGGGTAATGGCACGGAAAGCATTTCGAGGAAGGGTTTTATTTGCATATTAGTTGCAAATGGCCGTGGGCACTTGGTGCCCCCGGGACCGATGGGTGGTCCCTTCGGTATAGTTACGTCCTCACGGGGAACGACTTTATTTTCATACTTGGTGATAGGTTTCGTATCCTGCCCCCGAGGGGGCCCTCTAAATTTAAAAACACTTGGTGTTTTTCTCCCCATGTCGTGGTTGATTCGAATGTGTACCCTCGACACTTGGTGCCGAGGGGTCTTGTTTATATACTCAGCTTGGAACACTTCATCCTCATGGGAAAAGGCCATGGGTCGAGGCTTGTATGAGGGCTTGGTCGCTCATAAGCGCTTTGTGATTGGTACTTGGTGTCTTTAATATGTATTTACTCTTCAAAAACAGGAGGCCTTGGGCCGTTTGGACAAGTACATTCGTAAGTTATGAGGTCTTGGCCGCTCATATGTTACTGATAAAGTTTGACCGGGTGGTGTACATTCCAATACCTAGGGACCTCGTTCCCATTGGGGTGTTTTAGTTTGTACGTTCCAGGTTTGATGATGGCTGTCACAATGTAGGGGCCTTCAAATTTTGGCGCCATTTTGCCACCTTCGGTCGGTTGACTAGCTTCCCTCCTTCTCAGGACGTAATCCCCCACTTGAAATTCTTGGGAACGGACCTTGGCGTCGATGTAGCCCTTCACTTGTCTTCGATAGTTCTCCACCCTTAGGAATGCTTGCTCTCGGCGCTATGAGATCAGGTGAAGATCAAGGGCCATATCGGTGTCGTTGACCTCAGGTTCATATTGGTCAACCCTTCGGGTCGTTAGAGTTACCTCCGTGGGGGCTTTAGCTTCGAACCCATAGCATAGGGAGAAGGGTGTTTCACCGGTTTCCCTCCTAGGGGTGGTGTGGTAGGCCCATAGGATGTTGTGGAGTTCTTCTACCCAACCTCCCCTTTCGGCTTCCAGCTTCTTCTTTAAACCCTCCAACAGGGTTCGGTTGGCGTTCTCCACTTGCCCGTTGCTTTGAGGGTAGGCAACTGATGAAAAGGTATGTTTGATTCCCCATGCCTCCAGGAGGGCGCGGAAGGAGGCTGCCTGGAACTGGGTTCCATTATTGGAGATGATTTGTGGGGGAACGCCGAACCTTGTGAGGATGTTTTTAAGGAAAAAATGGCGGCACCTGGCCTCGGTAATGCTGGCGAGGGGCTCAGCCTCAACCCATTTGGTGAAGTAGTCAATGGCGACGATGATGTACCTGTTGTTGGAGGTACCCCTCGGAAGTGGGCCTACTAGGTCAATGCCCCACCTGGAGAAGGGTATCGTTGTGCTGATGGGGGCGTAGTTAACTGATGGTCTTCCGAGGGCCTTCTAAAAGTGTTGACATGCGGTGCACCTTCGGGCGAGATTGGCACAATCTCGGGCTATCGTGGGCCAGAAGTAGCCCTAGACTATAAGCCTTCGGGACATGGAGAAGGGTCCCTGGTGAGCCGAGCAGGTGCCACTGTGTACTTCCTCCATTGTAACCTCGGCTTCATCCTGATGAAGGCACCGGAGCAACGTGCTGTTGTCTGATCGCTTGTAGAGCCTTCCACTTTCAAGGGCATAGCTGGGAGCCCTCAACTTTGTTACTTTTGTGCGGGTTTCATCTTCGGGCAGTTGCCCTGTGGTGATGAAGTTGACGATATCTGAGATCCAGTCCTTAGGCCTTTGTTGTATGTTCATGACGAGGCTGCCGTATGCTCGAGAGGCTGAGTTCCTCTATTCTCGCAATCTTGGAAAGGTGTTCCGGAGATTCATCCGAGAGTTTGGATAAGATATAGGCCTCAGAATTTTGAGCCCTTGGTATTTGAGTGATGGAGTCAGCCCCAAATACCTTGAGTAATTCCTTGGTCGCCTCCCTGTACTGCTTCATCCTTCCTTCCTTCGCCTCATATTCGCCAGAAAGTTGGCCAACCACTAACTTGGAATCATACTTTACATGGATCATCCTCGCTCTGAGGTTGGCCGCCAGCCGAAGGACACAAAGGAGGGCTTCCTACTTCGCTTCGTTGTTGGAAACTTTGAAGGAGAAACGGGTGGCATAGTAGGCGCGGAAGCCTTCGGGTGTGATGAGAACAACGCCTCCTCCACATGCTTTTGTTGCCGAGGAGCCGTCTGTGTAGAGGCTCCACCATTCGTCCAGGGGTGTCGGGGGCTCCTCGTCCACCGCGGACCTCGCCGTGCATTCCGTCATGAAGTCTTCCAGGGCTTGGCCCTTGATGGCAGGCCTCGGCCGGATGTCGATGTTGTATTGGCTAAGGAAGATGGCCCATTTCACCATTCGGGAGGAGCTGGTGGGGCTCCTCATCAATTCACCGAGGGGTTGGTGCGTGAGGACCTGGACCGAATGAGCTTGGAAGTAGTGGCTTAGCTTCTTGACGGTCCAAACGATAGCTAGCATCGTCTTTTCCACGGGAGAATACCTGAGTTCCGCCTCCCTGAGGGTCTTGCTGACGTAGAAGATGGCATGTTGGATGCCATCTTCCTCCCGAATGAGTATTGAGCTGATGGCCGCAGAGCTAACGCCAAGGTAATGATATAGTGTCTCCCCTACCTTGGGCTTGGAGAGCACAGGGGGTGAAGACAGGTATTGTTTAAGCTCGTCGAAGGCTACTTGGCATTCAGGACTCCGTTGGAAGCCGGCGGTCTTTCTCATGATCTGGAAGAAGGGGAGGGACTTATCCGCTGATTTGGATAGGAAGCGGTTGAGGGCCGCTAGGTGGCCCGTCAACCTTTGCACTTCCTTTACGTTGCGTGGGGGCTCCATGTTGATGATGGCCTGGATTTTCTCGGGGTTGGCCTCAATACCCCTTCGGCTCACCATGTAGCATAAGAACTTCCCTCCTTGCACGCCGAAGGTGCACTTCTTCTGGTTCAGCCGAAGGTTAAACTTCTGCATGATGGCAAATATCTCCTGGAGGTCATCTGCATGGCTTGACGATTGTTTGCTTTTGACGATCATATCGTCGACATAGGCCTGCATTGTGCGCCCTAGGACGGCTTGGAAGACTTTGGCAACCATCCGAGTGTAAGTGGCGCTGGAATTCTTTAGGCCGAAGGCCATGACTAGATAGCAAAAGATGCCTTCGGGTGTCATGAAGGCTGTCTTCTCTGCGTCTTCTTCGTGCATGTAGATCTGGTGATACCCGCGGAAGGCATCGTGGAAGGACATGATTTCACAGCCCACTGTTTCATCTACGAGCTGATCAATGTTCGGTAAGGGGAATGGATCCATAGGGCATGCCTTATTCAAGTCTGTGTAATCCACGCACATGCGGAAAGTGGGTGGTTTTTGTGCGAGGACCATGAAGGGTATTTTACCTCCCGGATGTGTTTGATGGATAGGAGCATAGCAACCTCCTTCTTTACGAAATCCCTTCTCTCGACTGAGAGGGGTCTTCTTCTCTGTTGCACGGGTTTGGAGGAAGGGTCCACTGACAGGTGGTGAGTGATTACCTTTCGGCTGATTCCAGGCATGTCCTCCGGCCCCCACGCAAAAACAATAAAGTACGCGCGAAGGGCATCCGTGA